TTGCTTCATATGCATCTGAAAGTTGGACAATTAATAGACATGATAGAAAAGGAATCAGTTATTTTTAATTGTGGTGTTGGAGTAGAGGAATCAATGATTTTTTAAAAAAATTATTAATTTGAATGAAAATTTACAGAGACTTTGGGTTTCCATTCATTCATTGTTACACTTTTCTCCCCTACCAACCCTCCCCCCTAGTACACTACCCTCTTGGAAAAGTAAAAGAAAAATTCTTTCATTGTTTTACAAACCCTCCCCCAGGTCCACTCCACTATGCAGCCCTTCACTCTGGACTCCTGTCATGACAAAATTACCTAATCACATATCCCTTTTAAACAGTTTTCTTCCTTATCTGTTTTAAAGCAGTATACATTATTGAACCCATCTTTCTCGGGATCAATGATTTTTAAAATCATGGTATTGAATATCCCATGGACTGCCAAAAGAATAAACAAGTATGTGTTGGAGGAAGAGCAACCAAGATGCCACTAGAGACAAAGATGGTGAAACTTCATCTCACATTCTTTGGCCATGTTTTTAGTAGAGGCAAGTTCTTGAATGCATCCTATCTCCATACTTTTTCAATCTATATGCAGAATAGATCATACAGGAGGCTGGGCTCTATGAGGAGGAATGTGGCATCAGGATTGGACTCATCAACAACCTGCATTATGAGGATCACACAACCTTGGTTGCTGAAACTGAGGAAGACCTGAGACACTGCAGAAGGTCAGGGGCTGCAGCCTCCAATATGGATTGAAGCTCAACATTAAGAAAACAAAATTTTCACCACTGAAGTAATTGGCAGCATCATGATAGATGGTGAAGAGGCTGAGATTGTTAACAGCTTCAGCTTCTTTGGCTCAACAATCAACACTCTTGGTGTCAGCAGCCAGGAAATCAAAAGACAAATTGCATTGAGAAAATCTGCTGTCAGAGACTTCTCCAGAGTACTAAAGAGCAGTGATGTCAGTCTAGACACTAAGGTGTGCTTAATCCAGGTCATGCTCTTCGCAATTACTTGCTATGCATTAGAGAACTGGACAATGACTGTGGATGTTAAAAGAAGAATTGATGCCTTTGAGTTGTGGTGCAGGAGAGGGGTACTGAACATACCATGGACTCCTAAGAGAACAAACAGGTCTATCCTGGAGAGAGTGAAACCAGGCTGCTCCTTGGAGGCAAAGATTTTGAAGCTCTGTCATACATACTTTGGGCATGTTGCAAGGAGGGACCAGTCCCTAGAAAGTGATATCATACTTGAAAGGGTGGATGGACAGCACAAGAGAGGAAGACCTTGGATGAGCTGGATTGACTCTATGACTAGCGTAATAGGGGTAGGTGTGTCAGAGACAATAAGATTGGCTCAAGATAGAGCAGTGCTCGGAGCTGTTGTACATAGGGTCACTGTGATTCAGAATCAGCTTGACCAAATATAAGAATAGTTCTTGGGGAAAAAATCAAACAAAAAGTTCTTGGTGAAGGGATTGAGAAAGAGAGAATGGCACAGGATAGGGCAAGGATCATAACTGTTGCTTATGGAGTAGCTATGAGTTGTAGTTGACTTGATGGCACATAACAACCACAACTGTAGGAGTTTTCTTTGGTGAAATGTCTATTCAAGTTCTTTGCCCATTTTATGATTGAGCTGTCTTTTTGTGATGTTTGATATATACACACACATATACACGCACTAAGGTGTACCTGATCCCGGTTATGGTCTTTGCAATTACTTGCTTTCATCATAGAAATGGACAATGACTAAGGATGACAGAAGAAGAATTGATGCCCTTGAGTTGTGGTGCTGGAAAAGAGTCTTGAACATACACCATGGACCACCAAGAAAACAAAGAGGTCTGTCTTGGAGAGGGTGGAATCAAGTTTCTCCTTGGAGGCTAGGATTTTGGAGCTCTGTCTTACGTACCTTGGGCAAGGGCCAGGAGAGACAGATCCTTGGAGGAGGACATCATGCTCAGTAAGGTGGAGAGACAGTGCAGGAGAGGAAGATCTCAGATGAGATAGATTGATACAGTAACTGGGGCAATGGGGATAGGCGTGTCAAAGTCAGTGAGACTGGCTCAGGACAGGGCAGACTTCAGAGCTATTGTACTTAGGGCGCTATGAGTCACAGATGACTTGACGGCATGTAACGACATAAATATGTTGTGTTATATACCATTAAGTTGGAAGCGACTAATAGCTGACCTCTAAGCAGGTTTTCAGATGAAGTTAATGACACAGGAGGAGATTGTCCATCCTTCTCCTGTGGAGCAGCTAGTGGATTAAAACTGTATGCCTTTGGGATTGTAGCTCAACTTCTTGCCACTAGGCCCCTAGAACCCACCCACACATACATTTGTTGTTCTTGTTAGGTACCATCAAGTAAATATGACCCACAGTGACCCTGTGAACAACAGATCTGAACTCATTACTATCCTTTGCCATCCTGACATTTCCTGACACATTAGAGCCCATTGTGGCAGTCACCAAGCCAAAATACCTCCTCAACAGCCTCCCTCTTCTCCTTCACCAAACCTCTAAGCATCATGACATCCCTCTCCAAGGAATAGCACCCTCCTAGCAACATACCCCAAGTATGTGAGAGGAAGCCTCATCATCTTTGTCTCCGAAGAGTGCTTTGGCTATACTTTCTCAAATACATATTTGTTCTGTTAGCCGTCCATAGGATGTTCAGTGATCTTCTCCAACACCAGAGGTATCCATTCTTCTGTCATCTTTATTCACTGTCCAGATCTCAAATGCATAGCAAGTGATCAGAAAGACCATAGACCTTAGTCCTCAAACTGGCATCATTACTCCAAAATAATTTTTAAAAGTTCCTAACTACAGACTTTCCCAGTGTAATACCTTTCCTGATTTTCTGACTGCTGATACCAAAGGTGTTAATTGTGGATATAAGAAAGATAAAATTGTCAGTTTCAATCTTTTCTTCACCTATCATGATGCTGCCTATCAGTCTACTGGTAAGAATATTTGTTTTCTTGACATTGAGATACAATCCACATTGAAAGCTATATTCCTTGATCTTCTGCAACAAGTGCTCCAAGACCTCTTCACTTTCAGCAAGCACGTTTGTGCCATCTGCGCAATGCAGGTTATTGATGAACCTCTCTCTGATCCTGATACCACTTTCCTCTTCATAGAGTCCAGCTTCTCAAATAATTTGTTCAGCAAATAGGTATGGAGGGAGAATAGAACCCTTGTTAATTTTAAACAATGTAGTGTTCCCTTGCTCTTTTCACACAAGAGCCTCCTGGTCTTGATATAGATTTCATATGATCACAATTAAGTGCTCTGGGATTCCCATTCTCCTCAATGTTGGGCCATAATTTTTTATTATCTACACAGGCAAATGCCTTTGTATAGTCAATGAAGCACAAATAGACATTCTTCTGGTATTCTTTCTTTTCAGCCAGGATCCATCTGACATCAGCAATGATATCCCTGATGCCACAGCCTCTTCTAGATCCTGCTTGAACTTCTGTCAGTTCCCTATCTGTGTACTGTTCTAGCTGTTTTTTAATTATCTTCAGCAATATTTTTCTTGCATGTAATATTAATGATATTTGTCTATAGTTTCCACATTCTGTTGGATCACTTTGTTGGGCAGCAAATAAAAAAAAGCCTTCTGTGTGTGTGTGTGTGTGTGTGTGTGTGTGTGTGTGTGTACTGGTTGTTAGATTCTTATTGAATGTGTGGTTCCTGAAGATATTCTCCCAATAAGAACTGTTTTTTCCATTTTTTTACTGATATTTTTATGACACTTTTAAAAAATTATGTGGTCCCATTTATTTTCTCTTTTTCTGCTTTGCTTTTGTTATTTTTAAAAACTCATTGTTAAAAGCTAGAACTGACAGAATTTCCCTTGCTTTTTGTATGAATTATAGTTTAGTGTGTATATTTAGGTGCTTATTCTATTTTGACTTGTTCTTGTGCATAGTATGAGACATGAATATGGTTTCGTTTATTTGCATGTGGAAACTCAATTTTTCCAGTAGTATTTATTGATGAGAATCAACCTCCTCATCAAAAGGATTTAGTACACTTGTGGAAAAAAAAACCAACCAAAACGAACTAACAAAAACCTAACAGTTGATTACAGATGCATGAGTTTATTTTTAGATTTTAAATTTTTTTTATATTGGTCTGCGTATCCATTACTATATCAATAGAAAGTTGTTGGAGGAGTGTTTTTGTTTTTTTAATTTTACCATAGATCGGGTGCATATTTCATTTTATACTACTTTATTTATAAAATTTGAATACACCATTTTCCACACCGTAGTATTCCAATTTCTCTCACCCCCCCCCATCAAACTGTACAAACTCATGATTAATACTCCCCTCCCCGTGCTACACATCCTCATCCCTCTGCTTTCATCCTCTTCCCACCTTGGATCTTCATACCTATTCTACAATAATGGTTTTATACAATATTTGTCCTCGTGGGACTGAGTTGGTTCATTCAGCGTAATGCTCTACAGTCCCTCCCAAGTTAGGTAATAATTTACAAAATCATTGCTCCTGAGTGCTGCATAGTATTCCATTGTATGAATGTATCATAATTTCTCAATCCATTCTGTTGTGGTTGGATATCTGGGTTGTTTCCATGTTTTTGCAATGGTTAATAATGCTGCTATGAACATTGGTATACAAGACAGTTGCTTTTATTACTATGACTTTTTAGGCTATTTGTTTTTGTTATTTGCTGGCAAGTCTGAACTGACCCATACCTGATCCTCTATTGAGTTGTAAGAGGCTTCAAATCACATGGGAGGAGACAGCCGATCTTTTCCCCATGGAGCAATTGGCATTGCAACTTCTTACTGTTAGCCACTAGAGCTCCTTATTGTTTGTGTATTATGTTTGTTTGGTTGGTTTTTTTTCATGCTAATGAGATTTTAATCTTCCACAGCAGGTCAAACTCCAAACTGAATAACAATCCTCAGAGGAAATGGTATGTTGAACGTTGAGTTCAGTTAGATACCATCAATGTCCTCATCATCATCACCAATGTCATCAATCTGGATTTCATCATCATCTCCTGGGCCAAATGTATCCGTTTCATTGATTTTAGCATGTTCTGGAAGCTCGCCATATGCCTTCAGACTTCTAGCTTCATCCGCATTGTATTTTAAAATGGCATCAGCCTTGTTAACCTCATAATCTCGGAGTCCAACCAATATGATATCTGAGGTATTTATCCAGACCTTTTCCCTCAATTTTCCTCTGATGTGACATAACCTTTTCACACCATCGAAACACATAGCTTCTAATCGTCCATTCCCCAACATTTTGATTACTTGTACATATTCTTGGCCATCCTCCTTGAACACCAGCTCTCTTTTCTCAGACTCATTTTCATTCTTACCTCTGCGTCTATTTTTACCTCCTTTACCTGGTGAGGTGAAGCACTTTATTCTTAGGCATGGCGGTGGATGCGGCCTTGCGGGGTCTCTGACCTCCTTCTGGGCGGCGGCGGTGGCGGTGGCAATCGTGGTGGCAGCGATTCCTCCAAGATGAGAAAGGGGTGAGTGAGGTGAACACGCAGGACTAGATGCAGACACGGGAGGACAGTGTGTATTATGTTTTACATTCAGGAAGTATGAGTCCTCCTACTTCATTCTTCTTCTTTAACATTGTTTTCATTAATGGTAAGGATTGGCTTTTCTATTTCTGTGTCACAGATATTATTTAAATCTTTAACATTGCTAAAGTAGCATATGTGAACTTGCTAATCTATATATACCAAGGAGACTGTGATGTAGTGGATTGTTCAGAATGGTTTTTCCAGCAATTTGCTTATACTTTCATCACATGTCAAGGTAGTTGCTGTTGTTAGGTACTGTCAAGTTGAGTACAATTCATAGCGACCCTAAGAACAGTCAACCTGAAACCTGCCATCCTTTTCATCTCTGAGACTCTAGAGTCCATTGCTGAAGTCACAGTGTCAATCCAATACTTTGGGAGTCTTCCTCTCCTTTGCAGTCCCTCCATGTTTCCAAGCATGATGTCCCTTTCCAAGGAATAGCCTCACCTAGCTACATGCCATAAGTATGAAAGACAAAGTTTTGTTATCCTTGCCTCCAAGGAGCACTCTGGCCACATCCATTCCAGGACATATCTATTTGTTCTTTCGACAGTTCATGCTTGTGACACTCAGAAGGAATTCTATCTCATGTTAATAAGGTAAATAAGGTAAGGAGCATCTTTTTGGTTTTTGTTGTTGTCGTGTTCCCTAGGGTCAGAACTGACTCATATTGACCCTTTCAGCAGCCTTTCAGAGGATCTCTTGGGAGGAGACTACCCATATTTCTCACACATATTTCTCACAGAGAGCTGGTGGTTCCAACCACTTGCCTTTTGTTCAACTCTACCACTAGGTCACCAGGAACATGAAAATGAGATGTGAAAACCATAATGTAGGGATTGGTCAGTTTATCATCTCACCAGGCTTAAACTGAGCAGGTTAATAGGCAGAAAGGGGGGACTCTCTACCATAAAGAAAGAAGCAGAGAGTATAACTCATCCTTTGAGCCAGAAAGATTGCTGAGGGATTGAGACCAGCAAACAGAATGATATTACGATTTGGCCACCCAAATAGTGGGCCAGGTGGCAACAGCGATGGCAGCAGTGGTCGCACTGGTGGCAGCAGCGATGGCAACAGCAGCAGCAGAGGTAGCAGAGAACCAGAAACCCATGTGAGACAGAAAGGAGCTAAGTCTGCTGACCAGTAGAGCTAAAGCCAAGTGCCTTTTCTAGGCTCACTGGCAGTATCTTCTCTCTCTCTCTTTCTCTCTCTCTCCTTGGCAGGATTAAATACATTTGTCTTTTAAATACTTGCTCAAGGGCAGAGGCTAAGGCTGATAAGCCAAGGGTCAGAGAAAGGTCTGCTATGATGTGAGCTGAGAAGATGCTTTCTTGATTAAATAATTGAATCCTGAGTGTTTCCAACCTAAGTTTTCTTTGTGAGTAGATACTATCTTGAAGTAACCCACCTCAGATTTCCAAGGCAGTACTATCTTGAAGTAACCCCCCCTCAGATTTCCAAGGCTTTAAATCTTAATTGGAGCAGTCTGCCCATCTTTCTCCCATGGATTTGAGCCATCAACCTTTTGGTTAGTAGCAAATATATTGCATACTATGCTATGAGGAGACCTTAAAAAATCATATAAAGATTTATATTTGCTACAAACATATTGGCAGACTAGACAGACAACAGTTCAAAATCTCTGCAACTGAAGACATCAGAAAACAATGATAGCATCAGTATCATAATTTTTAACCCACAATTTAAAATGAAATGATGTGGAAGTGTTTCAAACATAACTGAAGGAATAAAATGAGTTGAAATATCAAAATAGGAGAATAACAGACTACAGAATGGTATATTGTAATATCATCATCTTGAACAGTTGGCTGCATGATATGGGAAATCAGGACAACAGTGCCAGAGCCAGTGATACCCACAGAGTTGAAAAGGTTGAATCTCTCTATCATTCTTGCCGATGCCACCTCCCACTACACACCAAGAGTAGTATCCTCCCACCACAAGACTTAATTCCACTTCAGGCTTATGAGCACACCTTCTTGTATCTGGAACCAGAAGCATTCTTCCAAGAACCTGAAGACTATGCCACATCTGGCCTGCAATCAGCCCCCAGAATAGTGAGGAATATTCTCTAACTGGGTCCCACTCTCACCTGACAACCTCTATGGCCACACTTGCACATGCCAGATCAGCAGTATCTATCTCTTTAGCCACCTCTGAATGGATATCCTGCACCCATCCTCTGGACTGAAAAGACCAATCTTTAACCAGCCAGGCTAAGCTAGGCCCCTCTGAGGCCAGTAGAAACTGTCTCAGATTGGGTGCTCTGTCTCTTCACACATCAACACAGTCCATACCAGAAGAAGCGCTACCTGATTCTCAGAGCTTTGGTCACCATATGGATAAGTACAAACTTTCACAAGACTTCTTGTTGTTGTTATTATTGTTGTTGATTGCCTTCAAGTTGAACACTATTCATACTGACTCTATGAACAAAAGGCCTGAAGCCCCTCTACAACTATTGACATTTGTCAAAGCTGATAGTTTCCAGAGGCATGTTATTTTGGAAGTGATGTCACTCCTGCTTCCAAATCTCTCATCATATGTTATTGTTCTTATGTGCCATTGAGTTATCAGCTCTGAGCCCTCCCCTGTTTTGAGCCAGTCTCACTAATGTTGACACATCAACCCCCATTGCCCCAGATAATGTATCAATCCATCTCATCCTGGGTCTTCCTCTCCCGCACTGCTCATCCACCCTTCCGATCATGATGTCCTTCTCCAAGGACTAATCTCTCCTGGTCACATGCCCAAAGTAAGACTAGATACCCTAATTCCAGACTTCTATTGCGCTAGAAGATCCACTATGCCAGGTCAATTTGATTGCTGTTTCCCACTGCATACATGTATTTTTTATTATTTTTGTATGCTTGCTTATTTTATAGTTTGCTCTTACAGAAACAGTGCTTGTGTGTCACTTTGCTGTACTGGAGGATGACTTGAATGTTATTGCAATGCTACTTGTGTTTGCATATAGACAGGTTTGCATATAGTTTCTGGTTTGGATGAGGGGTTCCCCCTGCCCATATAGTTTACTCTAATGAGTACAGCACTTGTCTGTCATTTTGCTGTGCTGGAGTGACGTGGCAGGTTGTGACCCTCATGTTGAACAGGTTTCAGTGAAGCTTCCACACTAAAACTAAGAAGCAAGAATGGCCATCCACTTCTGAAATAATGTTGTTGTTGTTGTTGTTGTCAGTGAGTCGAGCACAACTCATAGTGACCCTAGGAACAAAAGGCCCGAAACCTTTCTATAATTATCTTCATTTATCAAAGTTCACAGAGTTTCCAGAGGCATATTGTTTAGGAAGTGGGTGCCACTTCTGCCTCCAAACCTGTCTTAAACTGGGAGTTCCACCAAACACTGTCCTTCCTGGGTAATCATTATGGCATTTGACACCCCAATGACACAAGGTCCAGCATCATAGAAACCCCAGGTTACCTCAGTACAGCATATTGACAGAAGAATGTTGTACCACTTAGAAGAATGTTTCTCCAAAATAATAACAACCGACTTTTAAACACAAAGGCCCTACTTTTAGGTCTTGTTTAAAAATATGGAACACTTCATGAATTTGTATGTCATTCTTGTGTAGGGGCCATGCTAATAGGTCTTTAAAAAACCTATGAATAACAGGATTATTGTTAGATCTGGGCAATTTCCTCCCATGTGAATAAATGCCTCTGAAAACCCACCAGAGTCAGGTATGGGTCAGTTCTGATGCTATGGTACACAACAACAACAACATTGTTAAATCTAGTACCAGAAGAATGAGATTCCAAGAACACTTGATTGTGCTCATGTGAAGCCTATATTCCTTCCAGGAAGCAGTCCTGAGAACAGAGCAGAAAAACACTGCATGGTTCAAAATTGGGAAAGGAATTCATTAGGGATGTGTCCTGTCTTCCTATCTTTTCAATCTATACACAGATCTGATCATTTGGGAGTCTGGGCTTTATGATGAGGAATGTGGCACCCAAATTGGAGTAAGGTTTATTATCAACTGCCTGCCTTATGCAGATGACACAACCTTGCTTCCTGAAACTGAGAAGGATAGGAAGCATTTGCTACAGAAGGTCAAGGACTGCAGTCTCAATATGCATTGAAGTGCAACATAAAAAAAAAAGATAAAGATTCTCACTGGGCCAATTGGAAGCACCTGATAGATGGAAAGAGATTGATGTTAACAATTTCAGCTTGCTCAGCTCCACAATCAATATATTTGCACCAACAGTCAGAAACACAAAAGATGAATTGCACTGAGGAAGTCTGCTGTCAGGGACCTCTCCAAAGTCCTAAGTGGTAATGATGTCAGTCTAAGGAATAAAGTGTGTCTGATCCAGTCCATGGTCTTCGTGATTACATGATCTCTCATCAGAGAGCTGGACAATGACTTAAGATGACAGAAAAAGAATCGATACCTTTGAGTTGTGGCGCTAGAGAGGAGTATTGAACATATCATGGACCACCAGAAGAATAAACATGTCTGTCTCGGAGAGGGTGAAACCAAGTTTCTCCTTGGAGGCTAAGATTTTGAAGCACCATCTTACATGCATCGGGCATTTGGCCAGGAGAGACCAGTTCTTGGGAAGGACATCATGCTTGGAAGAGTGGAGAGACACCACGGGAGAGGAAGACCCCAGATGAGATGGATTGGCACAGTAACTAGAGTAATAGGAATAAGGGTGTCATAGTCAGTGAGACAAGCTCAGGATAAGATAGGGTTCATAGGTATTGTACACAGGGTCACTATGAGTCACAGACAACTCAATGGTACATAACAACCACAACAATTAAAAAATGAGGGGAAAAAGCTTCAAACTTTGATTAGTGATTAGAACAGGGATTGTATGAATCTAGAGAAATTGGAAATTGGAAAAAATGAAAATGGAAGAGATAAAGATTCATACCCGAAGCATTAGTAATCTATGATGGGCCGTTATTAACTACTTTAAATCAGACAATCATGTGATTCCAGATATCTATTCTGCCAGGAATGACAAATTGAAGAGGAATGTTATGACATTCATCAACAGGAAGAATGTTTTAAGATTTGTCCTGAAGTACGAAGCTGAGAGTGGTAAATTACTATCCATATTTAGACAAGAAAGACCTGTTAAAACAACTGTTATTTGGCTGGACTTTAGGAGCTGCGGCGACAGTGCAGACATGGCCAAATTCGAGAACCAAACCACACACAACTAGTCCCAAAAATGGCACAGAAATGGTATCAAGAAACCAAGATCGCAACAATATGACTCTCTTAAGGGAGTAGACCCCAAATTCCTGAGGAACATGTACTTTACCAAGAAGCACAACAACAAGGGCCTGAAGAAATGCAGGACAACAATGCCAAGGCCATGGATGAACGTGCCGAGGCTGTGAAGGCTCTTGTCAAGCCCAAAGAGGTCAAGCCCAGGATCCCAAGGGGTGCCAACCACAAGCTCAGCCGACTCACTACATCACCCATCCCAGGCTTGGGAAGCGTGCTTGGTTCCACATTGCTAAGGGACTCAGGCTTAACCAGACAAAAGCCAAAACCAAGACTGACAGTAAGGCTGAAGCTCCAGCAAAGTCCTCAACTCAGACTCCCGCCAAGGCTCCAGCCCAGGCTCCAGCTAAGGCCTCAACCCAGGCTCCTGTTCCATGTCAGGCTCCTAAAGGTGTCCAGTCCCTTGCAAGGCTCCATAAATGAGTTCTCCATCTGCGGACAGAAGGACTGGTATAACTCCCTGGGTGGCTGCCAACTGCGTGGGGCTGGTATCCTCCTGTGTTATTTGTACAAATAAATCCTACAGCAGAGGGGAAAAAACCCACCCAAACCCCCCAACTACTCTTCAAAATAATATGCACAAACAACTAAAGCTAAAGATGAAGAGATTGAGGAGTGCTATAAACATTAGCAGTCTGAAATTGATCAAACATCGAGTCAAGATATGTTCATAATAATTGATAACTGGATGGAAAAATTGGAAGTAAAGATGAAGGAATGGTAGTTGAAATAATTACAGAGAAGTGGCTGGATATAGAATGAAATAATTTTATACAATCAATTATTTGTTTCTTCATTGCAAATACTTTTTGAGAAA